TATCGCAGGAATTCGTGTTCTCGACCACCAGTGCAGCAGAGTTGCACGGTTATATATAACAGGCTCTCATTGGCTGCTGTATCAACTGAATCTTACATGCGTTCTTATTCGCTAAGAGGCTCGAACTATGTGATCTCGAAGCGTTGAGACGTTTCCGTTAAACGGTAGTGTTTTTACGCCAAAAAACCCCAAACCGATTAACGGAAAAGTCTCGCCGCTCCGTCGCTCCATAATATAGCAAGCAAACGAATAAAAGACTCTGTAATCAGCCGGGTAACGGTAAAGATCACTGATTCAATGTGCGATCGAACAGACGACACAAATATTCTTCGGTTGCTCTTCTCGTCAATAAAGAATAAGACAAGTATAAACACTACCACTATTCATCTGCATATCGGTCAAGAAAGCGAACGTTAAAGTGAGAGTCCAGTGGACATCAAAACACTCCTCCTGGAATTAAACCGATGATATTAAGGTCATTAAGATGTTGGTACGAGGAACTTATAAACAGATTGCAAACGCCATATGGAAGAGCACTTAAAGAACTAAAATCCCTCGTTCAAATGACCTCTAAACTCTATTACCCAAACATTCAATATTCCGAGTAGGACTAGTTCGAGCTTCTTAGCGAATAAGAACGCATGTAAGATTGAGTTGATACAGCAGCCAATGAGAGCCTGTTATATATAACCGTGCAACTCGACTGGTGGTCTAGAACACGAACTTTTTGCGATAATTCGCAGAAGTTTATTTTGGCGAAATAAACCGGATGTAACGCAGGCTACGGTCCCTCGACCGCTGATGTTTTCCTCAGCTTCGCTTCGGGAAACATCAGCGTTCTCGGGACCACAAAACATACTGTTTCCCTCGGYTCCAGTAAATAAGTGTTAATTAAGTCCGTTTTCATTGACTTTTCCTTAATTAAGCCATTTAGCKACTTGAACACATGAATTTTGTTTGAAAGTTTTTGATTGAAAGTATAAATTTGCACATTTTCTACCGGACGGCTCGTGACTTTAAAACTTTTCTCGTGTCTCTCCCAGAGGAGATATCAGTAGTATATATCCCTTTATACTTTGCGCGCGTGGTTTGTTGACAAAATGGCTACTATTTCCGGTGATATGCCGGGTAGTAAGTTTCCGGTCCAGAAAATTGTCTTTTTTGCATCTTAACAAGGGAAGTCCCGAAAATATTTGCTGTCTGATTAATTTTCTTTGTATTTCTCTTAATTTTTTGAAGTAATGTTTGTTTCAAGTATGAGAAAATTGCTGTTTTGTAGTTGACATTCGCGGTTTCAATTTAAGTTATATAACATGACGATCGGTTCAAAAAAAGTGCTGTTTTTACACTTGTTCTTTGAGCTATTTAAGTTTTGTTAAGTCAGATCTATAGAAAATAAGTCATACGAAGTTACAGTCAAAAAAGTCTCAAAAAGTCTCCATGATTTCAAGTGCTAAACAGAGCTTGAAAACCCTTGAAATTTGCTAAGTTCGTGTGAGTCGCGTATCTTGATTAGGCGTTGATATCGCTACCAGCGAGCTGTGCTACAGTTTCTGCCATACAAATAAGTTAATCATAAAACACACTGAAATACAAGTGTCAAAGTACACATCAGTATATTTTTAACCTCTTTTTCATTGAACGATTTTCAATATAAAACATGTCCAAAAGAACAAAACTCGTGTCACTGTAAGCAATGAGTTTACAAATCGCGCATTTGGTTTATTTTTTGGCATGCAGCAATGAAACTGAAAACACAACCCATAAATACTACAATAAAACAGAAAACAAATTATACCAACTAATGATCAAAGTAAGAACTGATATTTATAAAATGATTTCTTTCAATGCAAAACAACAACTTCGGTTTTTCTTAGCATCAAAGCCGGACTTCAGTTCTAATCTAGTTCTAAGCTCATTTCAAGTAATTTCAAACAATGAAAACAAGTTTTTACTAACCTCTAAATCTGACGAAATATAAACACGGACTAAAGTAGGACTTCTTATTTTATCAAACAGTCCTTCAACCTTTTGACCGTCCACAGCGAGAGGAATCTGAGCAACTCACCTCTCCGACAATACTCCGATTTCGAGTTCTGTTTCACTGATAGCTCGAAAAACCGCATGGAATTTGTGAAGAAAGACAATAAATTTGATTTGAAATCTC